CCACAAAATTTGTCCCATGATACGCAGACGACTATAAATTTGTCATGCAAACATGTGGGTATTGTGTACTGTAAATTCTCCTCGGCCACCCATTATTCTCCGTCATTAGTTCGCTAATGCCTCATCTTCAATTAAATTTGACTTTTTGAATAGCAGAAGAAGAATAATGACAAAGATGATTAAAAAGATTAAAAGGTGTCGAACAACTATGTAAACAATGTAACTAAAAAATTTTGAATTTTAAACAAAAATAAAAAATGAGGGGGGGGGGGGGGCATTACTAAATAAAGAAAACGACTTCTATAGAATTTTGAAAAATTACAAACAATACAAATATAAAATCAATAATCAATTTTTTTGTCTTCAAGAAAACAATATAACACCTCTTCAATGACATGTGCATTCAAACACAAACAAAAGAATCTTCAAAATATTATGCCCACTACCAAAATAAAAAAAAAACTCGAACTCCTGGTTTTTCCATCTCTTCAATATTTTTATTTATTTTTTTTAATCGTTTATTTTTTTTTATTTTATCACACCACTGAACTTCATCACCACTTCTCTGCCTATCTCTCTCTCTCCCAGTGAACCTTTAAATTAAGTTGTAAATAAAACATACAACCTCACACATACACACACACTGGCATTACAATAACATGACTTCTGCTTCTTCTTCTCCATAGTGAATATCATGGTAGAAGGTGAATTAAACGAAAGATTTAAGCAACAAACTTGATTGAAAGACTTGCCCATCAAAAGACACACAGGTGAACAACACAACAACAAACAAAAAAAAACTTATTGCTAGTAAAGTGTATAAAAAAGAAGAAGAAAAAAAACAAATCACCTGTTAAATATGTTGCCAAAAAAATTAACAGCAACAAAAACAACAACAACAAGTAAATAGTTGTAATGCATAACACATTTAATAGAAAGGGCAGGAAATTAGCATTTAACTTGAAGCAAAAAAAAAATATGTATAGACATGTGTTAATTGTCTGTTGAAAATGAAATCAATTAGTTTACACTTTTTTTTGGAGGGGAAAGGAAATTATGTGATCAAAACGAAAAAAAAAAATATTTCATTGTCGGGGTTATAGTATGTTGTGTAATGGAAGTAAATGGAAAATGTATTTTTTTTACTACATGTATGTGTAAATGGTTCGCCAAATGATAAAGGGAGTCTTAATAGACGAACTTGAAGTAGTTCATATAGACGGGATGAATAAAACAGAATGGCTTTTTTATAGACGAGCTCAGAGGGAGGTTTCCATAGGCTTTAACCCGCCTTGTTAAAACATTTGGAGACAGTCTTTATAGAGATGTTGAATATACTCTTAATAAACTGAATATAGGGCGTCTTCATAGACGAAAGATAGGGTGTGTTTATTAACGAGATTGAGGGTATTTTTATAGACGAGCTGGAGGATGTATCCTTAGATAAAATGAAAGGAGCTGAATTGTGTCTTTATAGACAGTATGAGGGGAGTGCTTGAAGACCAGCTGGAGGCAGTCTTAATAGACAAGCTGAAATGAAATATTTAGAGATTTGAAAGAAGGACTCTTTATAGCCTGACAGGAGGGGTGGCTATTTATAGACCCGCTGGAAGAAGTCTTTATACACCAGCTGAAGATTGTCATAATAGGCGAGTAAAAGGAGTTTTTTTCAACGAGCTCTTTTTAGAATAGGTGAAATGTCTTTATAGACGAGATTGAGTCTTTTTTTGTTAAAGATAATATGGGAGCTATATATAAATCTCAACCGATTTTCCCGAAACTCGTCGTTCTAGCCTTAATTCACTACGCTGTGCAAAATTTCGTGCAAATCGAAAGGTATATAGGGACTTTGGTGCACCAATTACATAAAATCGGACGAAAATATATATGGGAGCTATGTCTAAATCTGAACCGATTTTCTTGAATTTCAATAGGGTTTCGTGGGATTTTTTTTTACAGAAAACCCTATTTTCCAGGGAATTATTTTATAGAAAACATATGATCTTCAATCTTATTAATTTAATTCCTATGAAAAAAATGAATTGTTTGTCTAGAGAAAAAGATAGATTCTATGATCCGGTGCACTGTTAAAAAAAATCTCAATCAGACACCCGTTCGAAATACATATGGAAGCTATGGCTGCATCTGCATAAATTTCAACATTTAACAACATTTCGTCATTTAAGTCCCAATTTGATACCTTGTGCAAAATTTCGTGTTAATCGGACAAACATTAGGAGTTTGGTAAAATCTGACGAATATATATGTATATGTGGGAGCTATATCGAAATCTGAAGCGATTTTTCCGAAACTTAACACACATCATTTTAGACTCAAATCAGTACGATATGCCAAATTTCGTGCAAATCGAAAGATATATAGGGACTCTGGTCCACCAGTTACCTAAAATCGGACGAAAATATATATGGGAACTATATCTAAATCGGAACCGATTTTTACGAAACTTAACACACATCATTCTACACCTAATTCATTACGCTATGCCAAATTGTGTGCAAATCGAAAGATATTTAGGGTCTTTGGTGCACCATTTACCTTAAATCAGATGAAACTATATGGGAGCTATATCTAAATCTGGACCGATTTTCAGGAAACTTGACACACATCGCTTAATTCAGTAAGCTATGCCAACATTCGTGCAAATCGAATAATTTTCATGGACTTTGGTGCACCATTTTCCTTAAATCGGATGAAAATATATACGGGAGCTATATGTAAATCTGAACCGATCTTCACGAAATTTAACACACATCGTTCTAGACTTAATTCAGTACGCTGTGCCAAATTTCGTGCAAATCGAAAGATATATAGAGACTTTGGTGCACCATTTCCCTTAAATCTGACGAAAATATATACGGGAGCTTTATCTAAATCTGAACTAATATTCACGAAATGTAACACATAATCTTTTTGGACCTAGTTCAGTACTATATGCCAAATTTCGTGCAAATCGAAAAATATTTAGGAACTTTGGTGCCCCAATTCCCTTATATCGGACGAAAATATATATGGGAGCTATATCTAAATCTGAACTGATTTTCACCAATTTCAATAGGGTTCGTCCTTGGGCCAAATAAGTGACTTGTGCCAAATTTTATCCAAATCGGATCATAAATGCGACCTGTACTTTATTTACAATTTAACATCTACAGACGGACGGACATGCATAAATAGACTTAAAAATTCTATGCATATTTTCAAAAGGAACCATGTGTCTATCTCGTTTCCTTTTGCCTGTTACAAACATATGCACAAAGCCATAATACCCTGTACCACAGTGTGGTGAAGGGTAAAAAAACAAATATTTTTTTGAAGCCACAACAAGGTGGGGGTTTTAAAAATTTTTAATTTGTTTATTTTCTCTGATTGGATTTTTAAAAAATTATTTGTTTCTTTATATTTTTTAAATACCCAAGGCGTGGTTTTAAAAAGAAGAATATTTTTCTGACATAGAGACTTAGGACACGAACATTTATCATTTTCATAACACACAATGGAAAGAGAAACAAACATAATACATTATTCATAACAGCAACAACAATTTTGAGAGAAATACAGTAACATATAGCTTTTATTATGTCTCTCTTTTAATTCACTTGCAATCTAATAAGATTCTCTCTTTAAAATGTTTCCTTGAATGAGATATGGAGAGCTGGGTAGTCAATAATCACCAATTAAAACCAAAGACTTAAGAAACAAACTTCAAGAACAATGGGTGGGCGATAGTAGAGTAAAGAGAGGATAACTGTTAATAACAATATTTTTTGTGCTGAAAGCTTCTCTCTTTTTTTAAGGAGAATTGAGAGATAAATTGCATTGTAATATAAGTGTAAAACCAAAGACATAAGAAACAAACTTCAAGTGCCATTTTTGAAAAAGTATTTTCTGGGATATATTTTTTAATCTTTTTAAAGAATATTTTAAAGAATGGATTTTAAAAAAGAATATTTTTCTGACATAGATTTAAAAAAAATATTTGTTGTAAAATACGCAATGAGTGTTTTGAAAAAATTATAATTTTTCTAAAGCTGAAAGAAGGCATAGATTTAAAAGAAAATATGTTCGAAACTAAGAGACGAGTAGTTAATAAAATTTTGGGAAATATCTAAAGCGTGAATTTAAAAAAATATATATATTGGGTCGAAAATATCCATTTCCATTTCAAAAGAAATATTTTTTTTTTTTAATTGTCCACTTATTACAAACCAGAAATCGACTATCTTTCAATCATCATAAAAAATATATGTTTAAAAAAAAACTCAAAATTACAAATGAAGTAACAAATTATTGGATTGCAAACACATGGAAATTATTACGTAACATTTCACATTTGCTCTAATTTGAAAATAAAGTGAAAGACAATGCCATATAATTAGATTTTACATATCACACACACACCACACACATATAAAAATGACCAAATATTTCGCAATTCAATGCAAGGGGGTCATGATATAATTGAATTGATTTTTTTTTAATATTTTTTCCCAAATAAACTTTATGCTTATTTAAAGAGGGTGTTAATCTGCCACAGACGGTCTGTGGTCTTAGACAATAATTATTATTTTTTTGGACAACATGCTGTGAAAGTTATGATTTTTGTGATTATCTTTTTCTTGGAAAGGTATGGTCAGTTTAAATCAAAATATTTATTTTGAAAATTAAAGCAATTTTTTAAAGATACCCCCTCCTGTTAAATATGTAACATATAGATAATGGCTGAGCAATGTTTATAAACATTGCAATTTAACATATAATTAAAATGATTGAAGCAGTGATTAGTGTTTATGGAGGAGGGTGGGTGTTTTACTTTTGAAAACCGTTCCCTTAGGAGTCGAATAAAAATGCCACATGACATTGCAGAAAATAGTTTGTATGACATAGCCTCACAATGGCACCCCTTTTTGTGTATGGAAAATGTGTGTGTGTGTTTATACAAATTTTCAACGCCCCCACACATAACATAACAGGTGAAAGGTATGGATGATGACGGTGACGATGACTATGACAATGATGTGTGTCCAAACAAAATTCTGTAATGTATAGCCACAATAAAAAAATGAATTACTAAACCTGGCTAAAAGTCATGCCTGTTAACCAAACAACAACATCACAAAAATTATGAAATTATTTCAGCCTCAAGAAAAAAAAAATAAACAAACTGTTACACTTCTCCCTTAATGGGGGAAGGTGTGTCCAACCGAAAAAAAAAAATTGGGCCCACCTCGAGAGAAAAAATTGAAAAAAATTAAAACAAATTGAAAGTCTTTTTAGTTGTTGTTGCCTTTTTATCTTGACCATTTACGAAAATGGAAAGTAAATGGTTTTTCCTTTAAGTAAGCGGAAGTTTTAGTTTTGAATTTTTTTGTTTATTTCAAAATTTTGCTAATAAGTATTATGCAGTTTAGTTTTCATTTCATTACATATTTTGAAAGTTGGCCTATCTATTATAAAAACCTCTTAAATCTTTTATTTTTTTTTCATTCATCCTTGAGTGATTATTTCCATATCCAAATCCATCCATTTGTATTTATGAGCATTTTGTGTATTCCTTTCCATTTTTTGTTTTTCTTCAACTCATTGCAGAAATGTTTACTAATTTTATTGCTAACAAGCCGTATGCTGCAACATCTCAATGTAGTGGCAGTGGCAGTATCAACAACCAATCAGCATCATCCTCATCATCATCTCAATTCGCATGCGTATTCATATCTACGAAATAAAGCGAACGATAATAATCCGAGCAAAACTTATAATGTCTATGACAAGGAAGCCAATGAGGAGTATAATTTATATCAACAATCACCTGGCGAGGGGATACAATTGAAAATTGGCTCTCAACAGCAGCAACAATATCCACAAGAGAACACTCAACAGCATCGATATCATTATCAGCAACAAAACGAACAAACCAATCAACCCAAATCCCCTTACTCATCTCTTCACTACAATACATTAAAACATCTCAGCGATGCCACACACAATGATGTGGATATTGTTTACCACCAACCCACCAATAGCCACAGCCACAGCAACAACAACCAACAAATGGAATCCACACAACAAGAAAAACCCTCGTTGTTGGATCAGCTGAAAAGTCAGGCCCAGGATTTGAGTGAAGGTTATGCCACATTTTTGCAAGATCAAGAAAATGATGAAAGGTAATGGCATATTTTATTAATCAATTTTTATTTTATCTTTATTTTACATTGCTGTAAACAAAAGACTTAAGACACGAACATTTACCATTTTCATAACACACAATGGAAAGAGAAAAAACAAAGCAATCTCATTACTCATAACAACAATAAAATATGGAGAGAATTACAGTAACCTCCAACGGTTATGCTTCTTTCTTTTAATTCCCATTAACCCTAATAAGATTCTCTCATTAAAATGTTTCCATGAATGAGAGATAGAGAGCTGAGTTGCAAATAATCACCAATTAAAACCAAAGACTTAAGCAACAAACTTCAAGAACAATGCGTGGGAGATAGTACATTAACTCTAATCAGACTCTCTCTTTTAAATATTGCACTAAGTGAGAGATAGAGGGTTGGGTTGCAAATAATCACCAATTAAAGCCAAAGACTTAAGCAACAAACTTCAATGGCAATGAGGAGCAGAGAGTACATCAACTCTAATCCAGGCATGCTTACCCATATACGCTACCGTAACTGAGGGTCGATGGGTAAACACATGTTCTCTTTTTCTCTCTTTATGTCAGTCGTTGTTAATGGTGAATTCTCAGTTACGCTCGCACACACTTGCTCTCAATTTAATTTTGCCCAACACTGCTCTAATCAGATTCTCTCTTTAAAATATTACTATAAATGAGCGATAGAGAGTTGGTTAGAAAATAATAACCAATTGAAACCAAAGACTTAAGCAACAAACTTCAAGAACAATGAGTGGGAGATAGTACAGTATAGAGAGGATAACGGTTATTAATAATAAAAATTTAAAGGAGAGTTTTATAGATAAATTGGAAGTAATAACCGTCTAAACCCAAAGACTTAAGAAACAAACTTCAAGTACCATTGAAATGCTACATTTATTGCAATAGAGAGAGAGAGCGAAATAGCGAGAGAAAGGGTGAGTAGGTTAGAGGGAGTAATTACTGTATAAATAAAACAGAATGAGAAAATATTTTACTTTTTTAAAAAAGGTTTTGCCGGTGGATTTATGTTAGAGATGTGCAAAAAGAGAGAGAGAGTAAAAAAAGAAAGGAGAGTAAAGTAGAAACCGCCATATGAAATGTCTTACAAAAAGAGAACGCAGTTCCCATGGCTGCTCAGCATTAATTTATATTGAAGTAGTGGACATTTTTAATGTGGAATAATAAAATATTTTTATAGGTAGTAGAATGAAAAAAATATATTTTTTCAAAAGAGATGATTTTCTTTAAGATTTTTTTTAGAACATTACATTGAAAAAGATTTTGTCTGGGTTTTTTTAAACAAGGATATTTTTCCAAAAATTAAAAAAGAAACCAGTAAGGAAAGTAGTAAAGTCGGACGGGACCGACTATATGATACCCTTCACCACTATGGGTATATGCAACGGAGGAATCCTAACAGACATCGGATTTTTGAAGGACCAGTGAAATGAAATTGGATCCATTAACCATGTCATTCTGCAACAAAAAAGTTTTCATTGGTCAAATATAGAGTTGGTTCGTAAAATGGCAAAGAATTATGTAAATCAATTTAAAGCAAATATCAATCGGACACGCGTTGATTATTTCGATAAATATCTGATATACATGAGGAGGAGTTTTTTTTTGCACCTATATCTAAATCTTAACCGATCTCAACGAGACTTGTCAGATATTAATTTATATTAACTATACAGTTCATTGTACAGAATTGTGTGGCAATCGGACAAACATTGGGTCTTTAGTGCACAATTTACATACAATCAGAAGAAAGAGTATATAGGAGCTATATCAAAATCTGAACCGATTTCCACGAAACTTAGCACACATCATTCTAGACTTAATTTAGTACGCTATGCCAAATTTCGTGCAAAGCGAAAAAATATAGGGTCTTTGGTGCACCATTTACATTAAATCGGACAAAAACATGTATGGGAGCTACATCTAAATCTGAACCGATTTCCAAATTTCGTGCAAATCGAAAAATATATAGGGACTTTGGGGCACTATTTACCTAAAATCGGACAAAAATATATATGGGAGCTATATCTAAATCTGAACTGATTTTTAGGAAGCTTAACACACATCATTCTAAACTTTATTCAATACGCTATGCCAAATTTCGTGCAAATCGAAAGATATATAGGGACTTTGCTACACCATTTACCTCAAATCGGACGAAAATATATATGGGAGATATATTTAAATCTGAACCGAATTTCATGAAACTTAACACACATCATTCTATACCTAATTCAGTACTCTGTGCCAAATTTCGTGTAAATCAAAAGATATTTAGGGGCTTCGATGCACCATTTACATTTAATCGGACGAAAATATATATGGGAGCTATATCTAAATCTGAACCGATTTTCACGAAACTTAACACACATCATTCTAGACTTAATTTAGTACTCTGTGCCAAATTTCGTGCAAATCGAAAAATATTAAGGGACTTTGCTGCACCATTTACCTTAAATCGGACGAAAATATATATGGGAGCTATATCTAAACCTGAACCGATTTTCACGAAACTTAGCACACATCATTCTAGGCTTAATTCAGTACGCCATGGCCAAAATTGTGCAGATCGCAAGATATGTAGGGACTTTGCTACACCATGTACCTTAAATCGGGCGAATATATATATATGGGAGCTATATCTAAATCTGAATCGATTTTTCCCAATTTCAATAGGGTTCGTCCTTGGGCCAAATAAATGAGCTGTGCCATATTTGATCCAATTCGAATCATAAATGCTGTACTTTGTTTACAATTTAACATGGACAGACGGACGGACGGACATGCATAAATCGACTCAGAAAGTGATTCTATGCACATTCTGAAAAGTAACAATGTGTCTATCTCATTTCTTTGTCTGTTACAAACATATGCACAAAGACATAATACCCTGTACCACAGTGTGGTGAAGAGTATTAAAATCCACGCTATTGGATAGGTCCTAGAAATTTTTTTTAAAGTAATCTACGCCTTATACCATAGACAGACGACAGCCTTAATTTGCATTAAAAAGTTCCTAATTTGAATTAATATATACCCCTGACAGACGAGAGTTTCTGCATTTATGAACCAGTTTTTTGTTTCAAAACTATTGTTTGTATGTGTGTAGGATGTACATTTTCAAAATTGTTTCCAATATTTTTTGGGACTTCATCTTTATGAAATAGATAAATGACAGAACGGAAGAATAACAGCTAAAATGGTAGTAAAACAGCTCCCGATTGGAAAAAAAATTGATATTTGCCTTTATTTCTAATATTTTTTTCATAAACGTAAACAAATTTGGCAACAAATAATTTATTTTCTACAGCATTGCCATATTGAAAGTGTTTAATTCAGTATAAATTCAGTTTGATTTTGTGCATTTACGACACATAAAAATGAGGATAATGTACAAGTTAATTTGAATTAAGACTGTTAATGCAAATTAAGGCTGTCGTCTGTCTAGGCTATTAGATATTCCCTTAAAAAAATATTTTTAAATAATCTACGCCTTTTTAAAAAAATCTTCGCCTTGGATAGGCCCTTGAAAAAAGTTTTTTAAAAAGTCCACGCCCAGGAAAAAATTATATAAAAAATCCACGCCTTAGATAGACCTCGGAAAAAATCATTTAAAAAATTCATACATATTATCTCCTAAATGTTCAAATATTATAGTGGCTAACAAAAAAAAAGCTTTTGTCATGACAAACTTTTTTGTGGATTGGTGAATATCCAAACTATACAAATTAAAGCTCTTCAGAAAAAAATCCTCACCAAAAGCTTTCAACAAAGTTTCTTTGTTAACAACTTTCAACACCACAACATCAAAAGACTTAAGACACAAACCCCATACGACAACCATATTTATTTCAATGGCTTTTCAACTCCACTGAAACTTTTTTTAATAACTAATCTCACATCTGAGCTTTCCGTTACTTAACCAAATAACCCACTAACATAAAGAAAGTATTTTTTTTTTGTTTAATTCGTTTTAATTCCGCTTAATTTCCATGCTGGATAGGCGGGCAGGCAGCTAGGCAATTGTTTTACTTTTCTTCCTGGGGGTTGGGTCCTGTAATTATTTTGTTATTTATTTTTTATTTTATTTAAAGACAGTCTATATTAAATCCTGTTTCGTTACCTCTCCTCTCTGTTGTTATCATAATCACCTACAAGCCACAACAATTTGCTTTATAACCAAATTGTATAATTTTACATGACAGCCAAACAAACAAGTGCTGTAAACACAAAATATGCAGAAAGACATCTAACAACTTGATCAATGATGATTGATTATAAAAAACCGAAAAGAAAACAATTTCCTGCTTTTTTGTTTTTCACTCACTAAATGGCTGGTTTTAAAGGAAAGGTTATAAGGAAAATATTTTTTATTAAAGGAAATAAATTTCAAATAAGAATTTTAAATATAAAAATAAAATTTAAATATTTAAAATTAGAAAAAAAATTGGAGGAATAATCTATAATCACAAATAAAACTAATTATTTGTATTAAATAAAGCAAAAGACTTAAGAAACAAATATGAAAGAAACGAAAGAGAATCATTCACTTCTATCGACAATGCTTGTTATGATGCTCTCAACTACTCTCCCCTCTTTAACAGTTACACACTCTCGATATCAACATATCAATGAGAAGAGAATACTCTGTTGAAATCATTGAGAGAGCATCATTTGGGAGTATTTGAAATGAAAAGACTTAGAACACAAACTTGCTATATTTCTAATGGTAATTTATTGGAGAGTCAAAAATGTAGAGAAATGACTACAAAAGACTTAAGACACAAACTTTATACTCATTATAGTGTTTTTTTCCAATACATGGACTTTTGTGCCAATTTCCATTCTTTTTTATTTCTTTACGCAAATGACTAATTTCGAAATTACAAATAATGAAAAAAAACACAAATAAATCGCATACCGGATTTCAAGCAATTAATATTTTATATTCCCACTCTAGTTATAAATTCAATATGACGGTGATTGGCAGCCAAAATTTTGAATTATGTGCAATTTTTACTTGTTTTTTTCTTTGTATTGAAAAGTTTGAATTTTTATTTGAAAAATTTTTTTTAGTATTCAAATTAAATTATTTGTTTATTGAAAACTTAAGTATTCACACTTTATAGACCTTTTTTCTGGTTTAGCTTTGTGTGGGGTTTTATTTATTACCTTATAATGGTTAACCTTATAACCCATTGTTTTGGGATATTTTTTATTGGAGCAAATTACAGGTTTTGTTTTTTGAAAAAAAAACCAGTAAGGAAAGAAGTAAAGTCGGACGGGGCCGACTATATGATACCCTTCACCACTTTGAGTATATTCAACAGATGAATCCTAACAGAAGTCGCATTTTTAAAGGACCAGTAAAATGAAATTGGAACCATAAACACGTCATTCTGCAACCGATACTAAATTGTTCATTTGGTCAGATATAGAAGCTATATCTAAATCTGAACCGATTTCAGGAAACTTAACACACATCATTCTAGACCTAATTTGTTACGCTGTGCCAAATTTCGTGCAAATCGAAAGATATATAGGGACTTTGATGCACCATTTACATTAAATCTGACGAAAGTATATGTGGGAGCTATATATAAATCTGAACCGATTTTCAGGCAACTTTACACACATCATTCTAGACCTAATTTGCTACGCTGTGCCAAATTTCGTGCTTAAATCGACTCAAAAAGTGATTCTATGCATATTCTCAAAAGGAGCCATGGGTCTATCTCGATTATTTTTGCATGTTACAAACATATGCACAAAAACATAATACCCTGTACCAGAAAAAAGAATTTGGTTCAAGAACCTCAAAACCTGGGGGCTACCAGAAAAAATTGACCAATATTTATAATTTATAGTGGAGAGATGTGCTACCTAATAAGAACTCGACGTACTAAATTACAGTCAATTTGGTCGAAAAATCCGATCAGAACCCCCAAAATACCAAAAATTTTGGGGTACCGTTATATGGGTACTACCAGAAAAACTGGACCTATATTTATAATTTTTAGTGGAATAATTTGGTACCCAATAAGATCCCAATGTACAAAATTTCAGCGAATTCAGTTATAAAACGAGCCCAAAAACCCGAAACTACCGAAAATTGGGGGTGCCCTTATATGGGGGCTTTCCGAAAAAATGGACCTTTATTTATAATGTTTGGTAGGGAGATTTGCTACCCAATAAGAACACAAAGTACCAAATTTCAGTGAATTCGGTCGAAAAATGCGATCAAAACCCCCAAAATACCGAAAATTGGGGGTAATCTTATATGGGGGCTATCCGAAAAAATGGACCTTTATTTATAATTTTTGGTAGGGAGATTTGCTACCCAATAAGAACTCAATGTACAAAATTTCAGGGAATTCAGTTAAAAAACGCGCTCAAGAACCTCAAAATACCGAAAATTGGGGGTAATCTTATATGGGGGCTATCCGAAAAAATGGACCTTTATTTATAATTTTTGATAGAGAGATTTGCTACCCAATAAGAACTCAAAGTACCAAATTTCAGCGAATTCAGTTAAAAAACGCGCTCAAGAACCTCAAAATACCGAAAATTTTGGGGTACCCTTATATGGGAGCTATGCCTAAACGTGGACCGATTTTTTCCAATTTCAATAGGGTTCGTCCTTGGGCCAATTAAGTGACCTGTGCCAAATTTCATCCAAATCGGATCATAAATGCGACCTGTACTTTGTTAACAAAAATACATGGACGGACGGACAGACGGACGGACGGACGGACAGACGGACAGACGGACATGCATAAATCGACTCAGAAAGTGATTCTATGCATATTCTCAAAAGGAACCATGGGTCTATCTCGATTATTTTTGCCTGTTACAAACATATGCACAAAGACATAATACCCTGTACCACAGTGTGGTGAAGGGTATAAAGAAAACAAAAAAATATAATACAATGGAGAAGCTAATGGCGCTATAAACAAAAGAAAAAAATTGAAAAATAAAAAAAAAACAAATATTTGCAAATTTAAATGCATTTTTGGGGATCAAAGACAAATGTTTGGAATAAATAAAAAATAAACGGTATTCATAAAAATATTTTTTGAAGGTCGTGAGGGTGGAATTAAAAAAATGAACGAATGAATAGGCATGGATTTTTTAAAAATATTTTTTCAAAGCTCTAACCAAGGCGTAGAAAATATATTTTTAAGGCGTGGATTTTTTAAAAATATTTTTTCAAGGCGTGGATTTTTTAAAAATATTTTTTCAAGGCGTGGCTTTTTTTTAAAAATATTTTTTCAAGGCGTAGATTTTTTAAAAATATTTTTTCAAGGCGTGGATTTTTTCAAAATATTTTTTCAAGGCGTGGATTTTTTAAAAAATATTTTTTCAAGGCGTGGATTTTTTAAAAATATTTTTTCAAGGCGTGGATTTTTTAAAAAATATTTTTTCAAGGCGTGGATTTTTTAAAAATATTTTTTCAGACAAAAAGAAACGAGATAGACACATGGTTCCTGTGTCTATCTCGTTTCTTTGAGAATACGCATAGAATCAATTTCTTAGTCGTTTATGCATGTCCGTCAATCCGTTTGTCCGCCCGCCCGTCCATCCGTTTGTCCACGTTAAATTGTAAACAAAGTACAGGTCGCATTTATAATTCGAAATGGATGAAATTTGGCACAGCTCCTTTATTTGGCACAGCTCCTTTATTTGGCCCAAGGACGAGCCCTATTGAAATTGGGAAAAATCGCTTCAGATTTGGTTATAGCTCCCATATATATTTTCATCCGATTTAAGGTAAATGTTTCACCAAAGTCCCTATATATCTTTCAATTTGCATGAAATTTGCCACAGAGTTCTTAATTAGGTCCAGAATTATGTGTGCTAAGTTTCGTGAAAATCGGTTCAGATTTAGATATAGCTCCCATATATATTTTCGTCCGATTTATGGTAAATGGTGCACCAAAGTCTCTAAATATCTTTCGATTTCCACAAAATTTAGCACAGCATACTGAATTGAGTCTAGAATGATGTGTGCTAAGTTTCGTGAAAATCGGTTCAGATTCAAATATAGCTCCCATATATATTTTCGTGCGATTTGAGGTAAATGGTGCACCAAAGCCCCTACTTATCTTTCGATTTGCACGAAATTTGGCATAGCGTTCTGAATTAGGTCTAGAATGCTGTGTGCTAAGTTTCGTGAAATTCGGTTCAGATTTAGATATAGCTCCCATATATATTTTCGTCCGATTTAAGGTATATGGTTCACCAAAGTCTCAATATATCTTTCGATTTGCACGAAATTTGGCACAGCGTACTGAATTAAGTCTAGAATGATGTGTGCTAAGTTTTGTGAAACTCGATTCAGATTTAGATATAGCTCCCATATTTACTTTCGTCCGATTTAAGGTAAATGGTGCACCAAAGCCCCTACTTATCTTTCGATTTGCACGAAATTTGGCATAGCGTTCTGAATTAGGTCTAGAATGCTGTGTGCTAAGTTTCGTGAAGATCCGTTCAGATTTAGATATAGCTCCCATATATAGTTTCGTCCGATTTAAGGTATATGGTTCACCAAAGTTCCTATATATCCTTCGATTTGCACGAAATTTGGCACAGCGTACTGAATTAAGTCTAGAATGATGTGTGCTAAGTTTTGTGAAACTCGATTCAGATTTAGATATAGCTCCCATATACATTTTCGTCCGATTTTATGTAAATGGTGCACCAAAAACCCTATATATATCTCGATTTGCACGAAATTTGGCATAGCGTTCTGAATTGGGTCTAGAATGATGTGTACCAAGTTTCGTAAACATCGGTTCAGATTTAGGTATAGCTCCCATATATATTTTCGTCCGATTTAAGGTAAATGTTGCACCAAAGTCCCGAAATATTTTTCGATTTTTGTGTAAGGACAACCCAAAGGCTTAGATTTCTTAAAAATATTTTTCTATTTTTTTTTTTTTGGTTCCAAAAAAACATGTTTGTCTCCTAAGTCTTTTGTTCATGTTGAGCCACAGTAGCTTTATATGCTGCTTATCTTATCCCATTTTTTTTTATTAAATTGGGAATTCAAATTTAATCTTTAAAAACCAAGGATTTAAAGCTAATAGAGCTATGTGCAGATGTGCAAAATTTGTAAAACCAGTAGAAAATTGCCAACAATTTAATGTTTTATTTCTTGTGCGGATTTTCGATGAACGTGCCAAAGTAGTCAAATGTCATTGAGGCAATGAAACCGTACCGTAATGTGTTTTTGTTGTTGTCGTTGTTCTCCAAATTACTTAAATTGTCTGGTTGTTAACCAATAACTAAACCACATTTTGACCAGAAACACACAAACACACACACACATACATTCCTCTTATGTGTCTCGTTATTGGTGTTGTTGTTAAATAACCTGACAATTTGTAAGAGTTAGTGGTGTTGAGAAGAGCGATTAAAATCATTGCAAAGTTATGTGCACACACACACACACGCAAAAGTTTTTATTAATAAATTTTCATGTTTTTCGACAATTTTTATTTCAATTTTTTGTTGTTGTTTTTGTATTTTTTTCTTTAAAACAGTTACCATGATGACAATTCGTCGCGCAAGGAGCCTCAACCGCAACAGGTTGAATCTCAGCTTGCAAATCCTCAGCAGTTGCATTATCAAAAATTACAACAACAGCTGTTTTTATATTACCAAAAATTGCAACAACAAGAAGAAGAAACAACGCAGCAGCAACAACAACAACAGCCATTGCATGGACATTTATTACGCCAACAGCAACAACAACAGCCAACACAAATTGTATATTTCCAACACCACCACCACCAACGCCAGCAGCAACAGCAACAGCAGAGCCAACAACAACAACCCCAACAATTTGCAACAACATACGTCACACCAAGCCCAGACTCGGCTCGTACAAATTTGTCCCCACCAGCAGCAACAACAGCCATACCATATACCACCTCCCCCGGTATTAAGCAGGTAAACATACACCATCAGTCGCAGCAACGGCAACAACAACCCGTAATTGTGTCACACGCAACTGGCAACGAAGCATCACTTGCATTGCAACGGCTGACTATAACACCACCAGCACCACCCTCAGCACCCCTACCCCATCATCCCCAACACCAGCACCACCACCATCACCCAGGAATGCCACCGAAATTTGCTAATCACCCAGCTCGTCAACCAGCCGTAGTTTATGGTCCACCACCGCCACCACTCACCCTACCCCCACTCGGCCACTCACGACATTCTAAACAAGTCATATATGCACCGATGCGTTTTGTTTATGATCGCCAATTGCCCTACTCTGCGAAAACATTTCCCTATCCACCATCTTTTATAAGCCTAACCACCACCGAGAGGCCCCTCAAAGAGAAAACTCCTCCACAATTTTACCACAACAATCATAAATCGGCCTATCAAAAAATACCCGATTTTTGGGGAAATCGTCCTGCAAAGTCCCTATTGGATTCCTATATACCCAGTTGGCAGGTGGTGAAAATGTTGGAAGAATATCGCCAGAAACAAGGAGCCGGAACCCAATCGCCGAATTTGCAAACTTTGGCGTTGCCATATCATCATCATCGAAATTTCAAGCGGAATGTTGCCACCAACAACCAGGGGAAAATGAAATTGTGATTTAAATATTTTTTCGAATTTATTTTTGTAAAAATTTCTTAACATATATTTTTAATTAATTATTTGTTGGTTATATATACGAAATATTTTATTTTAATTTATTAAATAAATAAAAATTAAAAAAATATATAAAAGGATTTCTTAAAAAAAATATTTTTTCAAGGTCTAGTTGTGAATTTTTTAAAAATATTTTTCTTTTTCAGATTTAGATATAGCTCCCATATATAGTTTCACCCGATTTTAGGTAAATGGTGCACCAAAATCCCTATATAACTTTTGATTTGCACGAAATTTGCAACAGAGTACTGCATTAGGTCCACAATGATGTGTGCTAAGTTTCGTCAAAATCGTTTCAGACTTAGATATAGCTCTCATATATATTTTCGTCCGATTTTAGGTAAATGGTGCACCAACGTCACTGAGAATCATTCGATTTGGCAGAGAGTATTAAATGAACCTTAGAACGATGTGTGCTAAGTTTCGTGAAAATCGATTCAGATTTTGATATAGCTCCCATATATAGTTTCGCCCGATTTTAGGTAAATGGTTAACTAAAGTCCCATAAAATCATTCGATTTGCACGAATTTTGGCATAGCGTACTGAATTGAGTCTAGAATGATGTGTGCTAAGTTTGGTGAAAATTGGTTCAGATTTAGATATAGCTCCCATACATATATTCTTCCGATTTAAGGTAAATGGTGCACCAAAGTCCCTAAATATCTTTCGATTTGCACGAAATTTGGCAAAGCGTACTGAAGTGAGTCTAGAATGATGACTGGTGAGTTTTGGGAAAATCGATTCAGATTTACATATAGCTCCCATATATAGATTTGCCCGATTTTAGGTAAATGGTGCGCCAAAGCCCCTATATACACTTCGATTTGCACGAAATTTGGCAGAGAGTACTGAATGAACCTTAGAACGATGTGTGTTAAATTTCGTGAAAATCGCTTCAGATTTAGATATAGCTCCCATATATAGTTTCACCCGATTTTAGGTAAATTGTGCACCAGAGTCCCTATACATCTCTCGATTTACATGAAATTTGGTATAGCCTACTGAATTAAATCTAGAATGACGTGTGCTAAGGTTCGTGAAAATCGATTCAGATTTTGATATAGCTCCCATATATAGATTTGCCCGATTTTAGGTAAATGGTGCGTCAAAGCCTCTATATACACTTCGATTTCCACGAAATTTGGCAGAGAGTATTGAATGAACCTTAGAACGATGTGTGTTAAGTTTCATGAAAATCGGTTCAGATTTTGATGCAGCTCCTATATATATCTTCGTCCGATTTTATGTAAATAGTTCACTAAAGTCCCTATATATCTTTCGATATATATATCTTTCGATACATTAGAACAATGTTTTTTAAATTTCGTGAAAATCAGTTCAGATTTAGATATAGCTCCCATATATATTTTCGCCCGATTTTAGGTAAATGGTTCACCAAAGTCCCTATATATCCTTCGATTTACACGAAATTTGGTATATCCTACTGAATTAAATCTGGAATGATGTGTGCTAAGATTCGGCAAAATCGGTTCTAATTTAGATATAGCTCCAATATATAATTTCAACCGATTTTATGTAAATGGTACACCAAAGTCCCTATATATCCTTCGATTTGCACGAAATTTGGCATAGAGTACTGAATGAACCTTAGAACGATGTGTGTTAGGTTTCGTGAAAATCGATTCAGATTTAGATATAGCTCCCATATATAGTTTCGTCCGATTTAAGGTAAATTGTGCACCAAAGTGCCTATATGCCCATCGATTTGCACGAAATTTGGCAGAGAGTACTGAATTAAGTCAAGAATGACATATGCTAACTTTAGTGAAAATCGGTTCGGATTTAGATATAGCTCGTATATATATATAGTTTCTTTCGATATTAAATAAATGATGCACCCATGACTCAAATGTAGGCCGATTGCCACACAATTTTGTTGGGAGGCATCCTTTTTATATACCCATAGTGGTGAAGGGTGTCCTTACCACTATGTATCCTTACCTTACTGGTTTAAACATATTTTTTACTGTCTATCTCCAAGGCGTGGATTTTTATAAAAATATTTCTTTATCGTACCCTTTTTCACATTCCTTATATAAAGTCTATGTTTAATTGTCGCACTTTTTTTTTTTTTTTTTTTTGTGGTCACAAATTGCCCTCATAAATCATGATTAGTTGGCCGAAGCAAAAAAAAACTTAAAAAATATTTCAGCGCCATATGAAATTGAGATATGACACAATTTTTGTGGTAAAATTAAAAATTACTTTCATTAAAAAAAAAATGAAACGAAAGGAAAGGAATGGAAGAAAAAAAATATCCAAAGTGTGCCACTATGACTAGAGTTGCAGGGTGTTGCAGCTTTTTTTCGTCTTTGCAACATTTTCAGTTGCAAGAGATGGCTTATTGCTTGCAGATTATTAGCTAAGTAGAGATGCAAGGCACGTCTGCAAAGACTTTTTTTTTCAAATTTTTCATTTTCAATTTTTTTATTGGATTTTTGGAGAGAGGAGAAGCGCCACTCTGTCCCAACACAAACATTTACCAAAACACACATGTGTTTGTGTCTCCCTGTGTGTGTGTTTCTTGATTGGCTCCTCTGAGAAGTTGTACAAAAACGAAGATGACAGTGTTAAATATTTATGCAAGTAGGAAGTAAAGCCTCAGCAACAATATAAACCAAAGCAAAACATTTCAGAGGCTGTACCACCAAGGCAATCTCCACAAAAACACTGGGGATGTTTAATTTTCTTGTTTGCTAATAGTTATGAAAACAAAAAAAAAAAACAAAAAAAAATAAAATAAAATGTATGCTGAGGCTTCCGAATCAGACAGGCTCCTTACTTGCTGCCTGAAACACTCTCTGAAAAAAATTTAATTTTTTTGTAAAGTTTTGGAATATCTGGGAATTGTTTGGGTGCATTATTTTTTCAAATGCTTTAAAAAAGTTTTGGCGTTAAGTGGCGTTTCATGATGCAATAGCAAATATTATTTGAATGTTATAACTTTATAATAAAATCCAAAGAAGCCAAGGAGCTTCAGGGGGAGTGGAGAGGGAAAGGAGCCATAATATATGGTGATAGAAATCTCTTTATAAACGTAACAATTAAATTCCATAATTGCAAATTATCTGCACTGCACTGAAATTAAAATTAAGTATACAAGCGGGACCATTAACTGCAGCATAATGTGAGGTGTGCAGAGGTAAGGTGTGTGCTCGTGCTCCTAATTATAATAATACGACTTACTCCCCTGCTATGAAATAACATTATAATTCCTTGTTTTACTCGCCAACATTAAACATTTGACCCAATGACTTGTATTTCAAAGCTTTCATCGATTTTTTTCTTTGATTACAACTAATCCGACTAACATCAATCCCAACACATGCCATTCTCTCACCTATTCTAAATTTTATAAACAGTTTTAAGACAAATTTGGTAAGCTTCACTGTTTAAAATGTAATATCAATTCATTGATTATTTGGTGCACAATCGACATCAATAGGACGAAGTTATATATGGAAGCAATGCTATATCTAAATCTGAACCGATTTCAAGGAAACATGCCAGAAGTTATTTTACATTAATTTCAGTACGTTGTGTCAATCCGCCTATCTATGGGTCTTTAGTAGACCATTTACTTAAAATCGGACAAAAGTATATTTAGGAGCTATATCTAAATCTGAACCGATTTTCACGAAACTTAGCACACATCATTCTAGTCTCAATTCAGTACGCTACGCCAAATTTCGTGCAAATCGAAAAATATATAGAGTCTTTGGTGCACCATTTACCTTAAATCGGACGAACATATATATGGGAACTATATCTAAATCTAATCCGATTTTCACAAAACTTAGCACACATCATTCTAGACCTAATTCATTGCGCTGTGCCAAATTTCATGCAAATCGAATGATTTTCAGGGACTTTGGTGCACCATTTACATTAAATCGGACGAAAATATATATGGGAGCTATATCTAAATCTGAACCGATTCTCACGAAACTTGCCACACTACATTCTAGACTTAATTTAATACGCTGTGCAAAAGTTCATGCAAATAGAAGTATATATAGGGTCTTTGGTGCCCCATTTACCTAAAATCGCGTGAAACTATTTATGGGAGCTATATCTAAATCTGAACCGATTTTCACGAAATTAAACGTACATCATTCTAGACTCAATTCAATGCGTTATGCCAAATTTCGTGTAAATCGAAAGATAAATATGTACTTTCGTCCATCATATGCCTTAAATCGGACGAAAATATATATGGGAGCTATATCTAAATCTGAACCGATGTTCATGAAACTTAGCACACATTATCATAGACGGAATTCAGTACGCTGTGCAAAGTTTCGTGCACATCTAAAGCTATTTAGGGACTTTGGTGCGTCATTTACCTAAAATCGGGCGAAACTATATATGGGAGCTATATCTAAATCAGAACCGATTTTCACGAAACTTAGCACACATTATTCTAGACTCAATTCAGTACGCTATGCCAAATTTCGTGCAAATCGAATGATATATCGGTACCTTGGTGCCCCATTTACCTTAAATCGGACGAAAATATATACGGGTGCTATATCTAAATCTGATCCGATTTTCTCGAAACTTAGCACACATCATTCTACACTCAATTCAGTAAGTTATGCCAAATTTCGTGCAAATCGGACGAAACTACATATGGGAGCTATATCTAAATCTGAACCGATTTTCCGAAACTTAGCACACATCTTTCTAGGCTCAATTCAGTACGCTGTGCCAAATTTCGTGCAAATCGAAACATATTTAGGGACTTTGGTCCATCATTTACCTTAAATCGGATGAACATATATATGGGAGCTATATCTAAATCTGAACCGATTTTTCCCAATTTCAATAGGGTTCGTCCTTGGGCCAAATCAATGAGCTGTGCCAAATTTCATCCAATTTGAATTATAAATACGACCTGTACTTTGTTTAAAATATAAAA